AAGGCAAGTGAGCGCAGCGAACGAGCTCCAACCTAAAGGTGAGTGAGCGTAGCGAACGAGCTCCAACCTAAAGGTGAGTGAGCGTAGCGAACGAATTTCAACCAGGACGTGATTGAGCCATACGAACGAGATCATCTTGAAAATTAAGAAGTTAAACGGGGCAAAGCCCGCGGGATTATAAATAGTCAAAGGCAAGACAACGTCTGCCGGGTTCAGCTAGTATAAACTAAAAATAAAAACAATTAAATGGAAGAAATTCCAATCACATGTTTTATTTACAGCGTGGGGTGAAAATAGAGAAATCTGCACATTATTTTCATTTGATTTTTCGACCACTAAGTGACCACTAGCATTCATTTGAGATGTTCCAAAATTATCCTCATTGTTTACTTTTGAATTTGTATATAAGTTGAATGTTAATAAACCATGTGTTATGTATCCAAATACCTAGGCCTACTATTAGCTAAATTAATACCTCTAAATTATCACATGTGTTTACATGCAGTAAAAGGGAAAAAGGTTCCACCTATTGTAAATTTCCATATTTCACATTCTCATCAAACACTGTCATTTATTTAATAAGCTAAATTTATAATCACTGGAAGTTATTTATACAGTTTGAATTATTTTACAAAATTATTTTCCTACAGTTACCTAACAATGTACATGTTCTCTCACTGATTTGAGAAAGCAAAGTGGCCAATTCGCTCATCAGTGAGACAATGTTAACATTGTCTCACTCTAATTACTTTGTCTCACTCCAGATTTGCAACGTGAAGGCACGAAATAGTGAGCACGTAACATGCAGGCAACGTCGTATGCGCGCGAAATACGTTGGCAGCACTGGCTGTAAATCAGCTGGTCAGCTGTTGTACTGTTGTATTTGTCACTTCACATTAAATGTTATATTAAAAGTTCACTTCTGTGTAAAAATAGGTTATGTTTCTTCACCAATTTATTTGTTTTATGGTAACTGTAGGAAAAGTATAATGTGCAACTCGAGTTCAAAGTACAATTGCCTCACTCGAGAAACCATTCCTCACTCGCCTACGGCTCGTGAGTAAGGATTTCTCTCGAGTGAGTCAATTGCTCACTTTTCTCACTAGTTGCACAAATAACTATTTTTCTCTTTCACTTTCAAAAATGTAATTAAAATACTCATCATATAATACCAACCAATCATAAAAGTAACAGTGAATAGTGACATCAAGAAACCAGTGAACTAATTGTTGAAACAGATGTATGAAATTAAACATCAAGAATCAAGATTTTTTTTCAATTGAGAATAAGTAATGAAGAAGCAAGACAGGAAGATTATTTAAAACTTTTAATTGGTGATTTAACTTTACAGTATTTAAAATATCAAGATTTTCTCAATTATTTAATACATATCATTTTTTACCTCAAGAAATATATTTGTGGAGAAGACTACCATAAACTTTTGGGTGAGATCAAACTGAACTTGTACTTTGCTAAATACTCACATTCCAAAATTTCTATTGGCTTTTGCCGTTTTGAACTTTTACCTAAATTATAATTTTACTAAATTCAAAATTTGAACTTTCTTCTTTTCAAAAGTGTAAATTGAACTGTACATAACTTGTGATGAACATTAGGCTTATGCCTATCCAACATCACATAAGCCTACTTTAAGCCGGCACATTCCTAGAACCCTGAGATTAAGAGTTTCATCTAAATTTATAACCCTACTTATTTGTACAATTTGACTAATAAAAGGTTTATATGTATTCATCACCTTGGACATTTATTTACCAAATAAAAGATAAAAGAACTTTACACATTCAAGAACAGCTTTTACAAAAGCTCATTACATAGAAAATTAGATTAAATTAATGACGTGTAAACCACTTATGTCAACGAATGTTTTTCACGGGTACGAATTTTCCAACACAGTAATCTGCTAAATAAGTGTTTGTCTTTTTTCAATCGAAATTTAGTCGTAATGAAAAGTTTAAAAAGCAAACATTTAATTCAATGCCATAGGCATAAAAATGTATAACACTTTTTCAAACCTTATAAAAAATCAGTACCGGTAATTGAAGACATGATTAATGTAAGAAATGGCGACTACTACAGGCAAATCCCTCCGATCGTGGATTATACGTTTATACATCCAACATGGCTGCCTTGGACGCCATTTTGGTTACCCATATACAAGGTTTTCTCCTTTACTTTTATTCAAAATCCACACAAAACATGGGGTGAGAAAATAACGCGGTTGGATTTTTACTGTTTTATTACGATTAAAAATATATAAACAAGTGTAAATAAAGCTAATCTTCCAATGAAAAAATCATAGGTACCCGACAATTTCTCTCTTACAATTTCCTACAATTAATCTTTCAGAACATTTGAAAATATACAGTTATTTCGGTATGCACAATAAGTTACCTCTGAATATTATATATTTCTGTCTGATTAATTGTCATTTAATATTGTATCAAATTTAAAATCCCCAATACAGCATAGGCTACTCATAAAAGCGCAAATGGGTATTTTAATATATATTGTCAAGGCACTGATCCTTGCCAAATTGGGTTCTTTATGAAACTATATCAAACCATTCGAGTTACATTTTGCGAACAATCAAGATCAGTGTTGCACTTCGAAACTAAATGCATATTAAAATTAGTGTCAAAACCTCGGCTATGATATTCTATAGTAATTAGCGATAAAAATATAAGGTAATATCTACATTTTCCCTTCAAAGCAAACATGCTTATTATTAGAAAATCGCTAACATAAACTATTGAAAATAAACCTACTTGATCCAACAGCAATAGGTTCCAGACGTGTCCAGGGTCTGGGGTTGTGTAGATGTAGCCTGGCAGAGAGTCCTGAGGGATGTAAGGGAAGATGGGGATGGTCCAGAATCACATAGGGATGCTGGGTCCAGCCCATCCCTGCGCGGCCCAATAGCAGCATCCCTAGATCGATACTTACATCTTGGGCGGGGCCAGTTGCTAGGGAACCACCATAGGTTCAATATGAGATATAAAATGGAATGGAATAAATTCTGAAACTGCATTGCTATAAATTAATTGAATTGTGCTTAATCGTAAACTGTTTTTGTAAAAACTCGTTGTTGTAGAATAAATTTCACTCATAAAAGTCTGATGATGTAATTTTGGTTAAGAAAAAAATGTTTGTTAAGTATTTATAGATCCTGGTTACTAGTATAAATAAATGTTGTTAAACAATATGTACCAAAATACCTTGCACACAAACACTAACTTAACCCAACTTCATTACAAAACAATCATGTTTTACAAAGAATAAACCATAAGTTATGCATAAAAATCAAAGCCTTTATATTGCAAAATGTCAATACAAATTCTGAGTTTTTTTTTCACAAAGGCTATTTTTTATATACACTTGTTGGATTGTAATAAACTGACTAAATGCGTATTACGGTACCACTACTACACCACCACCACAACTCTAGCTAGGGATATTACAATTTGAGGCCCTTTTAAATATCGTGAAATATCTAAAACAGTTTCACTTCTTTCATTCATTTACTTCCTTTATTTATATTTGTTTCTTACAGTTCATAAAAAAATGCTATTTCTAAAATCAAAAAGTAATTTAAATACAAAAAGTAGCATACATTCTTTATATAGCATAATAGTTACCTATATAGTTGCAACAATATACCAGATTTTAAAGGGGATTAAGAAAAAAGAAGGAAAAGTTACTTTTATAGTCTATATAATACAAAACCAAAAGAAGGCGATTTATGTATGCTACCTCAATTTGTTAGTATTTAATTGCTAAATTAATAACATAAAATACTCATCGACATTTTAAACTATTCTAATAAGCATAAAATTCCAAATTATATTAAGACGAGTCATAAACCTAGTTTATTGGAGTGGTTTTTGTGCCCTTGAAGCCATTTAAACGCGAGGATAATTTATTATGTTTACTATAGGCTAAAGTTTGTTATTGTACTTGTTTACCTGTATATTTTGCCATTTCTGCTACGACCAACCTCATGAGATGCTGTATGTGATACAAACTCTACTAACTGGACCAATAACATTAGGTATAATTCGACCCATGTTTACACTCAATATTTCTACAACAAACTTCATGGGTCATTCCCTCAACCCTTGTGGATAGGATTGTATAGGATGGTAAATTACATAAAAACATAGTTATACCTTGTGTGAAATATTTTAATAGGTAGTGTTAACGAACATTTCAAACACACTGTATATTATTAGGTAACCAAACACGAAACACACACTTTAACAATTGATAGATCTTAAGGTAAGATGCAAAGGCTTTTTAGTACTGATTTAATGATTGTATGTTAAAAGCTATGGGATTCATAGAAGTTATTGGATTTTGACAGTATATTATTTTTCTTCGTCTTTTAATTTAGTTACATTGGCAGTGGTCTTGTCATTTTCAACTCTATGTCATTGATAAAATATTGTTTTCATAAAAAATCATAAGTTGTTTCTATTTATTATTTTAATTCAACGATTGTTTTTAATAATTGTTTTTTTACTTCAACGACAGTCAAGAGGTTATAAAAGGAGGTTTAATATTTCATCAACGATTCATATTTACAAAACTAATCGAATCCCACGTTGATTTTATTTTGATAACTCTTCCCTCTTAGTAAAATAGTACCGTGCAAAACGCACATCTAAAACAGACAGAATATTTTCAAACAAACGTAAAAATGATTTCCAAACGAGAACGTTGACCCGGAATCGGAAGAGAATTAGAATTCTGTTTCATAAACAAATCGATTCGCTTTTTATTAAATTTATTCAAATCGAGAATAAAAGCACTCGGCATGCGAGGAGGCTAACATTGACAAAACACAGAGCAATGGTTGCCGTGGAGACCTCATTGTTAGATGCCTCAGATCGCTTCTGTATACTCTATGGATCGATTTGAACAGCCGAGATGACTTTATGACCGAAGTGATGACATGATTGTTGGTAAACATCGGCAGATAGGTGATTACGTTGTGTGGTTGAATTTCGCGACTTTTCTGAAGTTTTCCAAGAATGTCTCGCAACTTTTACGCCAACCAGGTAACTTAGAGAGGTTAAGTGTAGAGAGTTTCGAATATTGCTGTTTATGTAGGATTATGCGTAAAGTTACGGTTGTGTGTGAGTAATAAGTGCTTGTAGCCTAACTGATTTACTATGATTGAATCAATGATAGGACACAGCGAAGAACATTTGGGTGCACGTTTTAAGCTGAATTTGCCGGGTGAGGGTAAAATAGAAATATAGTAAGATGACGTCTTTAAGTTTGATATAGTTATTGACGTTATTGTTGTTAGTGTGAGAGTATTAATGGTGAATGTGAACAATGAGTAAAATGTAACCTAACAAAATAACATCCGTCAAGCCTTCATTCAACACTTATTGTCAACGACGCGTTTTGAGCAAAATACAGGATGGGTGTAAAATGTAGTGAGATTACATTAAGTCTTATGCAGTTATTATTTTTTGTTAGCAATTATCTAGCTTATTGTGTCACAAATAGTTTAATCGATGGACCATTTTTTAAAGCTGAATATTAATGGATTGAGATGATCTGTGGATTTGTTACTGAATAAGAATATCGGATTTCCTATTAAACTTTAGAGAATTTATTAAAAGAGCCCTATTTTTATAATGTATAGTTATTTTTTAATGAATTACTAACAACTGCGGATATTGAAGTTGGATTTGAAGAAGTAAGTTTAAACGAAAATTAAACATTCTTTCTCCTGCCAGTAGGCTACCCTAAGTCAACAACGATTATCACCAAAGTATTTTATCAACTACATAACCCCGATTGATTTTTTATAAACGTTAATTAATTGCATGGTAATTTTTACGCATAATGTATGTACAACGTAAGATGGACAAAATATGGTTAAAATACTGATTCAGACTATACATATTCTTTGTTATATGAATTGTAATACGCATTTGTCATGACCAACTAGTATAATGATTTAGGGATAATAATTCAAAATCAACCTCCAAATTTTTATTTTTTGTTGGTTTTTATGCCCGATATAACACAAAAATCACAAACAAGCTCAAATTAAAATTATTGCGACAGAAGTAAGTGAGTGCGGCAATTAGCTACTTTGCGTGCTATAATCAATGCAAAAAAGTCCGCTTTGTTAGGTAGGTAACTGTAGGAAAAGTAGCCTACTTTAGCTGTCTGGGAAATTCATTTCTGTAGGTGTTGTAACATTGTGTTTCGGTCCTTCTACATTCGTTTACCAGCAAAATACAATATATACACAATATACAATTGTACATTACAATACTTTAATACTTTTCAATGAAATGGCGACCATACAAAGTAGGTATTTTAAGCCAAGTATGAATGGTAATGAGTGTATGATGAGTGGCGTGATCTTGAAGTCTGTTAAGTGACTAAGGCCGACTTATTCCTTAGACACAGCTGTTAATTAATAGCCCATACAGCTAATGGCACCTAAGGGACCTACAGTTTACAGTGGAATCCGAACCATATTTTGCCTTTATATACGAATTGGTCTAATTTTCAGGATAGTACTGCGGATAGTCGTAGTACTCACTCGTGCGGACGTTAATCCACACCAGGGAGTATCGCATCCACAGAGCATGCCTATAAATATCCACAATTCGTACCTCCTATAGTAGCTGGATTACAGGACGACGCCACCCGTCCCAGTTTTGTATACACAATACAATATACACACTCAATATACAATGATAAAAATGTTAAGTCTTTTTGGTAGGAATTCAAAATCTAAACTACTCATCGGTTTTAGTTAATGAACGAAAACATATATTTATGGAAAATATATCAAACCTCAACACATTATTATATGGGTATAGAAAATGTCGCTTACAATCGTCCTAAAACGAAACGAATGCGAATGATTAATAAATATTACCATTTTTACCATTATCTCCGTGTATTGCACCATACAAACTAAGCCATTGTGTTTCGCACTTTTTAAAATGACTAACCAAGTCAACATCTTGGAAGCCCAACTCTTTAATGAGGCAAATCGTTCAGTGCACGCAACTTTGCAGTTCGCGTCAACAGGTCAATGTTAGCTTTGCAACATCACATCACTTTTAATCCCTCGATATATCGATTGTTTATAGGACAGGAAGGCTGCATGACAGTGCGTGCCTGCCTATAGATGGGCTGTTGGGTTTGCCCTCCTCCTATCCATATAACATGCACGCAGGGTAGACATAGTCAATGGTTCCACACTCATACTCTGTGTGTTGTTAGTTTATAATTCATGTTAAAATTAACTTGTGGATTATTGGGTAGCCAAGTGGATATAGAGTTCGCCTTCAAGGCTAAAGGTTGCTGGTTCGATCCTCTACTCTGGAACCAACAATGATTTACAATAAATAACGTTATGTAAGCCTACTGTGCTCGCACAACTTTACATAACACTCTTATCAAAAACAAATAAAACGAAAGTTCCTAATAAATCGAAAATTTTTTTGTATATTGCACTTAGCTAAAAATACAAAAAACATTACACAGTCACAGTACATATATAATATTCACATATAATATTCTACAGTAAGAGGTGGGGCATGATTATTTTGAGTGAAAATGCATTTTTCAATATTCAAGACCCTATCTAGATCGCTTCAATTGTAATTTGTAAGGGTCTCTGACGTAGGTAGTTGAGGCATTGTTGAAGTGGCCCTGGTGCATTGTGGGACTAGACAGATTAATATTGGAAAACAAACAAGCATGGCGAGAGGCGTGCAGTGGCAAGAAAGGGGATAATATTAAACATTAAAGTACCTGCCTGCACTATCGAACTGACTGTGAGTTTACACGTGAATATTAGGGCTACAAGCCACACAATGTGTGTAAATTGTGCATTTTGTAGCTTTGTTCATGAAACATGATAACTTTTTTTGTATTTTTACTACTACAGCATTCTTATTATTTTGATTATTTTACAATTTGGGAAATATATGACGTAATCAGGGTTAGTTCCTCATTGACGGTTTCTCGTGAGGACCATCAACTATCAAATACATTTTAGTTTTAAAACCATAGTCATTGATGCCATGATGTGCTCAATCATGCAGGATGTTCTGTTACTATTTGTTGTATGTTTTTGTTGTTGATTCAATTACATGATTTATCTTTGTTATTTCTGTTCAGTTTGCCTCTCATTTATTGTTAGTCGTCGTTGATTATTTTCATTGTTCTGTTTATAAGTCACTTTAATTGCAATAGTTTTTATTTAATTTTTGCAATCAACATTGTAGTTCTTGAATTTTCAACACGTGTGTTTCTTATGGATTAAGTATATCGTTTTCTAGACTATCACAGAAATTGAATTCATACTCGTAAATTGAAATTGAACTGATAGTTGAATTGGATATTTTTGTATTTTTTGTAATTATTGTGAAATCTATACATGACCATTAAACCATTAAAACAATTTTGTTTCCACTTAAAGTCATGAATGTATTGACTAAATACAGTAGATATAAACAAAGCATTGGTCCGGAAAAGAAAACGGCAAAGGTCATCTAATTTAATAGGGAGAAGGAAAACGTTTTTGCAAACACAGTAAACGGTGGCCGACCTAAATTATCAGACCCATTCTAAGCAGAATTCTAAAAAAAAATCCTTTTCTATGTTCAACACAATGTTGAACTGTTACACCTCCGAAGTTTATACACATATATTAATATTGACAATAATAAAAAACACCTAGAAAAATCAATGGCAATATAACAAACGTTTTTCAGTGTTCACAACATGAATTTGGTTTTCCACACGAAGTCGACAACTAATCATAGAGTATTATTACATTTGAGATCAACACTTGTTGACAATAGATAGTCAAAACTACGTTTACACCGGTGGTTAGAAAAAACCTAATCTCCTGTGTAAAAGGGGCAAATATCGGGTATTTACTCAGGGGAGGTATAGAAGAGGCTACGATGACAGCTGTGGGCTTCTTATTAGCTGAGGGAACGCCATTACCGTAACAAAACGGATAATAGCCATCGGCCTCGGTGGTCTAAGGGTTAGCGTGCTGGGCTGATATACTGTAGGTCCCGGGTTCGAAACCCGCTGGTAGCATTAACTTTTTGTCCAAGATGTTTTTATTATCAGCAAGTTTGGTTGGTTTGGTTCGGTTATTACAGTTTAATTTTATTATTAAGTCATTATAAAATTTTTATTGAGCAATTTCTAGTTTTATTTAATAAACAGGATTATTTTTCCGATTACTAAACTTTTGTTATATTATTTCTTTATCAGCAAGTTTGGTTAGTTCGGTTAGGTTATGATAGTTTAATTTTATAATTAAAAAATAATAAAATTGAATTTGAGGCATTTATAATTTTATTTTATGAACAGAACTATTTTTGCGATTAGTAAACCTTCATTGCCAAAGTGCTCTCTACTACAGCGCTGTTCACGGAGGAATTTAGAACTAAATGCCTCATTCGTACCTCCCCTAAGTCAGACCCTACACGTCTTCTGCTGGTCCATATGGTTGCCAAATCGACAAGGAAGTATGTTTAATCAATGCTACCAACATTGACTTGTATCTCGCCACAGCTGGCAGATTATTTTCACCACAATCATCTGGGACGTCATACATCACTGATGATGGAATGATGAACCCTTCTAGGACACGTCACGTGACACGCCGCTAGCACGTGATCGTCGCACGGCGTTGACAGCTGCACGTGGCACTGTTGATTTGGTTATTCAGCTACAGTTTGTTTGAATAATGGTGGCATTTATTCGGTTTTAGAAAAAAGGTAATCATTACGACATTACAAATAAGTGAATGTCAGTAAGTGGGACTCCAATAATTCGGAATAAACACAATTTTAAGATAGCAGATTAAGTAGAGAAGAATACATCAATTATCAACTATCAACTAAGTGGTACTTGGGACTAATAACTGCAAAACAAGAACACAAAAAACTTACAAAATTCAACTAGATGACGTGTGCATTATCAAAAATACATTTTAAACATCTGATGCTGCGTAATGTGCCGAAACACAATAATTATAAAGGAGGAG